AGATGGGGTTTCACCATGTTGACCAGGATGGTCTCGATCTCTTGACCTCGTGATCCACCCGCCTCGGCCTCCCAAAGTGCTGGGATTACAGGCTTGAGCCACCGCACCCGGCCTTGTATTTTCTTTTATATCCAGCTGTAAAACATTGCTGAGGTCCTGGAACAAGGACTATCCTGTTTGGCCTCCCTGGGAAATGCCCACTGTGCGCATGCTCCTAGGAACAGAACCGGCAACACTTGAGCTCAGGATCTTGGGAGTGGCAGCTGGTTCTGGTAGCTGCTTCATTAGGCACCGGGCTGTGAAAGCAGGCAGGGAATAGACACGCGCAAGACCTGGGCGGAACCTTAGTAAACACGAGAGGGCGCTCTTCAGCATGAGCCAATTGGTCTCCAGGTGGGAACTGGGCCGAGGGCATCACCAGGTCTTCTGATTTTTCAAGGGAGGTCCAAAATTTACTAACTCAGGAAAAGGTCCATGCATTGTCTCAGGGTAAAACAATCTGGGCAGCTCTAGCATGGCCATTTGTGACTTGAGTTCTGGCACTCATTTCAACTGCGTTATGTGCTGAAAGCAGAGCCTCGATTTTTTATTTTTTAATTTTCCTTTGAGACTGGCTGTTGCTCTGTTGCCCAGGCTGGCCTTGAGCTCTTGGACTCAAGCGATCCTCCCACCGGCAGCTTCCTGAGTAGCTGGGATTACAGGTGCGTGCCCCCATGAGAGGCTCAGAGACTTCATTTTAGCATAGATACTGTGTGAAAACTCACTAGAAGTTTCCAAAAAAATCAATTGCCAAATGTACTTTTGGAACATGCCTCAATAGTGGTCATCACAGACATCTGTATGGTAATCGACACAGTGCTTTTCCCATCTCACTGAATCTCCATGATGATTCAATACAATTCAGAAACTAAGGTTCTGGGGGCAGGGACTGGCCCATTAGCACATGAACAGTGCTGGACAGAGCCACCTCCTGTAACGTCCCTAACTCCGAATCTCACACTTCTTACCACATCTAAGATGTTGGGAGAGCATCTTAGAGGTCCCTTTAAAGAGGTTTGGAAATCTTTATGTCTGACTTCTGTGGAGCACTTAAATAATGAAACATATGACATGCTAGGAGATGGGTTTTATGAGGATTTGCCAAGTCTTCTTAAAAGTCAAGAATTACTAATCCAACTTCATTTGTCTAAAGCCACGTGTTTTAACAAATGACTCAAAAAAGAAAAACAGTTGAATTATCTAAATAGCTATAATTTAGTAATAATTTGATTTTAACACCCCAACTTAAAATTTCAATGTATTTCTTTAGGTTTTTCCATTGTTCTGGGAAGCAAATGACTTAAAAATAGACACAGCAGGCTGGGTGCGGTGGCTCATGCTCATAATCCCAGCACTTTGGGAGGCCGAGGCGAGTTGATCACCTGAGGTCAAGAGTTTGAGACCAGCCTGGCCAACATGATAAAATCCTGTCTCTACTAAAACAAAAATCAGCTGGGTGTGGTGACATGCACCTGTAATCCGAGCTACTTGGGAAGCTGAGGCAGGAGAATTGCTTGAACCTGGGAGACAGAGGTTGCAGTGAACTAAGATCGCACCACGGTACTCCATCCTGGGCAACAGAGTGAGACCCTGTCTTAAAAAAAAATAGATACAGCAAACATCCTTTTCTTTTCCTCCACTCTGCAAAATTAAGCTTACCTCAAGTAAGGATTCCTTGTTCTTAGCATTCATTTTCTCACTAGTTTCCTTGCTTTCTTTTTTTCCTCTGTTATCCAAGTAGAAATTCTAAATAAAATGTTAAAAGATCAGGTCAGTAAGTGTTCATTACCATGCTAGACTCTGCAAGGAGCTCACAGTCTTGCTGGAGAAAAGGCATTAAGTATGTGAAATAAATAGGGAACCAGAGCATATGGTATTAGTCAATCATCAGGGCCTTCCCAAAGGCTGATACCGCATCACCGAGGCAAGAGTGAAGCCTTCTCATCCTCCCCTAGCATACAATCAATGAAAAAACAGAAGAGAGAAAACAGTAGCAAAAAATACATCACTTAATTGTTAAAGTTCATGTGTGGACCATGCGTGTTAAATGCTGGAAGTCCCAAGGCGCTGGCAAGAGCTGGAGGCTGGAGTGAAGGTCCTATGCTCAAGAAGGGAGCTGCTCCAGCTGGCAGATGCCACATAGGAGCTCAAGGTCTTGTAGACCAGTGGGATTCTGGCTTATCAAGAAAATCCAGAAATGTGGATGTTTGTAAAAATGACCTCTTAAAAAAAAAGAAAAAACTGCGTGGGTTAATCACAACACATAATTTACTATTTGGCAACTTCTAAGGACAAAAAGAAGCAGAAAGGGTATTTCTGGAAAGAAAACCAGCCTAAACAAAGGCAGGGAAGATGGTGACCTAAAAGCACTCACAGGCTGGGTGTGGCTCATGCCTGTAATCCCACCACTTTGAGAGGCTGAGGCAGGAGGATTACTTGAACCCCAGAGTCTGAGACCAGCCTGGGCAACATAGTGGGGCCCTGTGTCTACTAAAAATAATAATACAAATATTAGCTGGGCATGATGGCATGCATGCCTGTAGTCTCATCTTCTCTGGAGGCTGAGGCTAGAGGACTGCTTGAGCCCAGGAGTTCAAGGCTGCAGTGAGCTATGATCACTCCACTGCACTCCAGCCTGGGCAACAGAGTGAGACCTTGTCTCAAAAAACTAAACTAAACTAAACTAAAAATAAAGAAGTAAAAGCACTCAGAAGCGGATTTACGGTCTCTGAGCATGATTTGTATTAATTTCTGGATCATACCTTGTTAATACTGAATACCAATGGGATGGCTAAAAATAGTGTGTGAGTTTCCAAAAAGTCATGAGCACTCGAGAACTAATTTTTACACAATGAGTGTGACTGAGGTATCCATATGCAGAGTGAATATTGTGAGTGACCACTGTCATAGAGTGCTGAGCATTTTTATGTAAAAGCAAAGAGTTTTACAAAATACATAAAAAATGTATTAAAAGTCAGAAAATGTATCTCAGTAGCACTGTGACTAAATTAAGGACCCTCCCCAATCTAGGCACAAGTGTTTATTTACACCATAGGAGCGTTTCTTCAAGTATAATCCCCAGACCACCTTGAAACTCGACACAATGCATGTTCCTGGGCTACACCGGAATCCCTGGAATGAGGCCTGGAAATGTGCATTCCAATATCCTTTCCAGATGATTTTTATGCATACTGAAGCTTGAGTTTTTCTTTTTATTTATTTATTTTTTTTAAGAGACAAGGTCTTGCTCTGTTACCCAGGCTGGAGTGCAGTCACATGATCATATGCAGCCTCACACTCCTGGGCTCAAGCAGTCCTCCCGCCTCAGCCTCCTGAGTAGCTGGTATTACAGGTGTGTGCCACCATGCCTGGGCACACTGAGCTTGAGAATCAAGTGTACTGTACAGAAAAGAAGCAAACTGCAGGCAAAGAAAATGTATAGGTTTAAGATATCTCCTTGAAATACAATGCATAAGAATGGTGATTTGCTAACTTAAATAGGGAAAATACATCAAGTACAATTTTTTTTTTTTTTTTTTTTTTGAGACAGTCTAGCTTTGTCGCCCAGGCTGGAGTGCAGTGGCGCAGTCTTGGCTCACTGCAACCTCTGCCTCCTGGGTTCAAGGGCCTCCTGCCTCAGCCTCCCAAGTAGCTGGGATTACAGGTGTGCACCACCATGCCCAGCTAACTTTTTGTATTTTTAGTAGAGATGGGAGTTCGCTATGTTGGCCAGGCTGGTCTTGAACTCCTGACCTCAACTGATCTGCCCGCCTCAGCCTCCCAAACTGCTGTGATTATAGGCATGAACCACTGTGCCCGGCCAAGTACAATTCTTTTGATAGTTTTTATTGAAAAGGAGCTAATTTTAATAAGTTTTTCCAAGACTTTTGAACTTTCACTTGTTATTTGAAAGGATGTTATATTGTGAATTAGTGTGATTATAATTTAGGATTCAGAAAGCTATTTTAATTTTAAATGTTTTGCTTGAAGATCACGACTAGCCATAATAAGTAACATATTCTACCTGCCAGAAATCTATGCTAAGCCCTTACAGGTACGCTTTTCACTTCATCCTCATAAGAACCCCATAACATAGGTACCATTGCTATTGCTACTTTACAGGTGAGGATACAGAGAATTAAGTGATTTTCCTAAGGCCGATTAGAGGCAGAACGTTGTTAAATAATTTTTCTCGGCATTAAAATAATCTAAGTACATAGCCAAGCATAATGGCATGCACCTGTAGTCCCAGCTACTCCAGAGGCTGAGGTGGGAAGATCAGTTTAGCCCAGGTGTTTGAGTCCAGCCTGGGCCACACAGTGGGGCCCCATCGCTAAATAAATAGATAGATAGATAGATAGATAGATAGATAAATAAATAAATAAATAAAGCTTTAAATACCATAGGGGAGAATCTAGCACATCAATGTGAATGTACTTAATACCACAAAAGGGTACACTTAAAAATGGTTAAGATGATAAGTTCTATGTTATATATATTTCCCCACAATAACAAAAGATGTGACCCAACGTGAGTTCACCCATTCATATATGAGTGATTTCAGGGTGCTGCTAGAAAGCAAACCGTAGTTTAGGAGGGCCAGATATTTGAATCACATATGATGAATTGAAAGTGTGAACAGAGAGCATAATGAAGACTCCAAGCCTGGGTGCAGTGGCTTACACCAGTAATCCCAGTACTTTGGGTGGCCAAGGTGGGTGGGTCACCTGAGGTCAGGAGTTCAAGACCAGCCTGGCCAACATGGCGAAACTCTGTCTCTACTAAAAATACAAAAATTAGCTGGGTATGGTGGTGAGAACCTGTAATCCCAGCCACTCGGGAGGCTGAGGCAGGAAAATCGCTTGAGCCTGGGAAGCAGAGGTTGCAGTGAACCAAGATCACACCCAGTCTGGGTAATAAAGCAAGACTCCATCTCAATAAAAACAAAACAAAACAAAACAAAAAACAAACCCAAAAAACAAAAACAAAACAAAAAAGACTCTAGAGCAAGTGTTTTTCATCATCCTCATCTGGGAAAGACAGAGCATCCGTCACTCTGTAGGGAAGAGCCTGTCTAAACTGTGAAGGGCCACATTTCACCAGGGTGCCCTAAAGAGGCAGGATCTCCGTACCTTTCTTTGAGAACTTTCTCTGACACACTTCTGACTTTCTCAGCTTCAGAATGTCCTTCTAAGTGACCATGCTACACTGTTTTTGTTTATTTGAATGAAATAGCAAAAAGCACAAAGTAAATCTGTGCCAGAGGAGGGCAGTGCTTAGAATAAGAATAATTCCCAGAATAATAAGACTGATTGCTTTCGGATCAGAACTTCCACCTGTGGTGTGGGTGCCCACTCAGTGTGGGCTGTTCTGTAGAAGCAGTGAGCAGAACGCAACCTTTAGTCATGATCTCCTGCAAATGGAAGTTGGGTAAACCTGAGTCGAATAATAAAGGAACTTTAAAATGGGAAATGAGACTTTTGGTCACAGCTTGCTCTCTTTTCTCACAGCTTCTGAGAGTGCAAGGTTTGGGGACAGCTGGATAGGAAAGAAACAGCAAATACTTTTTAAACATCATCTTCTTGGAATAAAGAGCAAATCAAGCAAACAGTTATCAGTCCATGAAGAAATATTTGTGTGCACCCTTTATACATGCAATACATCCCTGTTGTTTTTACTGAGGGGGTAACATGGCTTCACTCTGTTGCCCAGGCTGGAGTGCAGTGGTGTGATCACGGCTCACTGCAAACTCCGCCTCCCAGGTTCAAGTGATTCTCCTGCCTCAGCCTCCTGAGTAGCTGGGACTACAGGCATGCACCACCTCACCTGGCTAATTTTTTGTATTTTTAGTAGAGACAGCTTTTCACCATGTTAGCCAGGATGGTCTTGATCTCCTGACCTTGTGATCTGCCTGCCTCAGCCTCCCAAAGTGCTGGGATTACAGGCCTGAGCCACTGTGCCCCACCTCAGCTAATTTTTAAATTTTTTGTAGAGATGGGGTCTTGCTATGTTGCCCAGGCTGGTCTCAAACTCCTGAGTTCAAGTGATTCACCTGCTTTGGCCTCCCAAAGTACTGGGTTTACAGGTGTGAGCCACCATGCCCGGCCCCAAATCTCTGTTCTCAAGAAGGTTGCTATCACATGGAAAAGATAAATATGGATAGATCATAGAGAGGTAGACAGATGGTTCTATATGTATTGATGGGGAAGATAGAAGAGACTACATAAATTCAAAATGAGCCACATTCTAGAGATTTTCAAGAAGGAACAAGTTACTGAGAGACGGTCAAGGAAAACTTTAGATGGACTGAGAGAGATGGTCAAGGAAAACTTTACAGAGGGGATCAAAGTGTGAATGAGGCCTTGAAAGATGTTCAGTATTCAGCTAGGGGAAAAGAGAATGAGAATAGATTTCCAGGCAGGAGAACAAGCACGCACAAAGGCACAGAGGTGTCTTTGGAGCACCAGTGAGCAGCCAGTCGGGCTAGAGCTATGGTTAATGCAGCTCACTGACTGAAGATCAGACCATTGCTCCCAATTCTCTGCTTGCTGTCAGGTGACTGGGCAGTAACGTCCCCCAGAATGGACGGAGCTTATTTCCTTGCTTCACTTATATTGGGTTTGGCCACGTGACTTGCTTTGAATGTGACTGTTGGGACAATGCATAGATTCTGAGCAGAGGGCTTGAGGTGCAGAGTGTGTTTCCTGTCATCTGCCTGTACTCTTGCCATTGACTGTGGGAAGAAT